GCTACAGAGTGTTGCCTTCTTCGCCCATCGCTCTTCAAGCAGTTTTGCTGCAATGCGAAGCTCAATATTTTTCTTCCTTCGCTTCGAGAAATTTCGCGCCGTGCTAATTATGTTTTCTTTTCATCGTCGCGAAAGTCCCACAGAGACGGAAGGCGGTGAAGGTTTACACGATGAAACGGGATTCAACGGCACAGACGCCAGGCCTCGAGGTGCTGTTATGGCGGAAAGATGAGGTAGAGACACCGAAAAGAATGAAGAACCTATTTACATGGGAGGTGGCAGAAACAAAAAAATAACATAGATTTGCATATATTACTGTCTGCGTTAGGTTCACAATAGACCCTCAGGTAAACCAGACCAATGAGGACTCCATAATAAGCTATTTTTACTATTAAGTCTACTTTATTTAATGGTCGTTAAATTAAACCACTATTTAAAGAAAGGGTCAGAAAAGATAAAAAAAGGCGAAAGAATAAGGGGAGAAGTAGAAACGACATCCGAACCCATCAAGCAAAAAGAAACGCAACAAGAGTGATTACTACTTACTACTGACGACTAAGGATGCGGAAGACTATTTTGTGTATCATGGAGCGTCAGAGCGTTGTGTCATTATTCCCTTAGTGCAGTGCATGTTTGTCACGGGCAGTAGCTGTGATATCCCCCACACTGAATGGACAGATATCGCGCCGACCTACACGTCGGCATGCGGTGGTTTTCCCCAACAACGTATCTCCCACCAGTGGGACACTGCCACGGCCAGGACCAGCTCTAAGCTCCCGACATGTATGGTGGTGTAGTGCATGTAAGTGTAAGTGCGTGTAAGTAAGGAGTGAGCATTGGAAAAGGAAGAGAAAGTAAAGATCGCGGAAGGTCTCCGGCCCGTTTGCTAAGGTACTGTTCCGGCTTTCGCCCGCTGAGTTGATCGGAGAAGCCACGAAAAACTACCGACCAGAGCAGCCGACCGCTAGAATTCTCCTCCAGACAGCGGCTGAATTCGACCTAGCTGTCTCGTTAGTGTCGTCAATCCTGCCGCCGTCGGAACTCGAACCCTAGGACCTCCCGGTCTGAGGCGCTTCAGTCACGTCAGTTGACGCTCAGAGCCACCTAAGCCGGTGCGGCAGAAAGAGGATGAGAGTGTCGGGAACAGAGAAGGTGGCGAGGGCGGCAAAGGAAGAGCGGCTGGAATAGCGCCGTTGGCGGGGAGAATTCTGTGAAGGCGAAGGCAAAAGCGCCCTGCCGGAATGAACACCAAGTAGCCGGGCGCGAAGGGGCGCCGAGAGACGCGTTGGGCGGGGCCCTGAGCGGGGGCGGGGGCGGGGGCGGGGAACAACGCACCGAGCTAATGCGCCCGCCACTCTCTCCACCTAATCCCTTTATTTCGTGATCCCGCATTTTTAATTCAGACTCTCGGAGACTAAACATCCCCCTCGACTCCGCTCCTTTCGGAGCTGCTTTGTTCGCAGCTTCTGAAAGCGCAGGCGACATTTTTACGCCGCGAGCCTGCAGGACCGTGGAGAGGGCCACTGCAGGTCAACCAGCCCTTTCACCAGCAAGACAGACTGAAGTTTACTTGAAGAAAACGAATGATTCAACAGATCGTCCCTTGAACTAAATAGTATGTTTTGTAATCCGCCCCTTTAAATACGTATTCGCTACTGGGCATAATTTATGGGAAACGAGCGATCTCACCCGTCATGGCGATTGGCAGAGATTGGAGACCCACCAAACCGTTATGTTGATTGCTTGGGTTTGTTCGGATTGATAAGAAATAGCAATCCTAATACTGGAGATTCCAACGGGGTCGGTTTAGACTCCCTGGGGGTCGATGGAATTTTGAAGAGGGTCAATGATGATCAAGGGGTCGACAACCGATTATAAACCGATGCTAAATCGGTTTATGTAAGATCTTATTGATTACAAAAAATGTGAAGGAACCTTACTAACTGTTTTCTAATGAATAGCAACAAAACCTGTAATAATGAATCACAAATATGTTACTATTGTTTTGTATGTGTCAATGATGAAAGAAAAAGGTTAGGAGTACCTGCTCTACGCAATTTTGTCGTTTGACGTCTGTCCTGTTGCTCCTCGCTTTCTAATTTGTACAAATTTCCAACAACTGGCAACTTGTTAACGTCTTTCAAATTTTCACCCGGCAAAACTTTTCACTTTACTACTTTGAAATGTTTTGTATTTCTACATTTATAAACTACTTAAGAATTTACATGAGAATAAGATGTCATATCAATCACTTCTCCATTCCTTTTCACTGCGCACTCCTCACTGAATGATCGGTATGACACGTGAATTTAGAGTCACCTAACTAAACTCACCCCCCCCCATTCGTTGGTTTGAAGTGTATATGCATACGACTTATACGCAATTGCAGATGACGATTATCTATTCTAACAACGTAACGGCTCCTCGACGAAATACCGAAGAACTGGGAGGTATAATCGCGATTAACGCGAGGTAATATTTGCGATTAATAAAAGCGTTTCACCGCTAACTCCGGCGGGATCTTGTACGATAACCTTTTTTAAAGCATTTTCACGCTTTTTCTTTCCACCCAGATACGCTTTTCCACATTCCCCTCACTCGAACACTAGCTCGCACGCACGAGCGCTTTTTCGCTTCGCGACTCGACCTCTGCAAACTGCTGTGACCGGCGATGGCTTGTTTGTCACTCGCAGCTCTAGGACGTCGCCCGCAGCGAGCAGGTGACTCGGTAATTCCGAGCGCCTATCGACAGCTCGTTGGCCGGGCGGGCTCTGGCGGGCGAGGCGCGTTATCCGCAGCGACGCGCCCGCGCCGCGCGGCCAGGGATACGCTCGCGTCCGAGGGAATCCGCCGCGCCGGGAAAATTAAAAAATAAAATAATAAGAATTTATAAAACGGGACGTCCGCGGACCACGCATCCGAATCCCAATAGCGTTTTGTACACATATAAAAATGATAAATTGTGCCGGTTTATCTTCCGCGCGGGAACTACCCCGTGACGTTATTATGGGTCGCCGAGTTCATATTTTATTTTTTGCCATTTGCGCCGCTTCGCTCTTTCTGGGGGCGTGAGTCTCGCGATCGAGTAAAGGGGATTGAAATCAATTACGGATGACATTTTAATAGCTATGCCAGGGTTAATATAAAATTATAGAAACAACATTCCGTGTTCATATTCGGTGTTTACAAGCATAAACGGGTTAAACCGAACGATAATTTCCTAGCGGAAGTTTACTCTCTCTTGTAGAGCAACTACAAAACGGAAGTATGAAAGGGAATGACATACTTGGAAGTGGCTTGCGAAAAACAAAGAGAAAAAAGAGATAAGAAATGATAAAATATATCTCTAGTAATCAGGTAATCTACGTGGAAGTTCCAAATGATGTGCAGAATGAAAAACCAACAGAACGATGAATAATGACAAAAAAAGTGGTAAAGTAAACAATAAAATAATGCAAGAAGATACCCTTATATTGATGAATGTAGACACAAAAATCTAGTTGGAACAGGAATCGAAAAATTAAAACTCCCCAAGAAGAAAGAGAAGCAAGAAAATAGAGTAGTGACTACGTGAATAGCAATAAAGAAGTGGATTAACAGCGAACGCATATGAAGTTAATTAATATCTGCACATAACAAAACAACCTCTTGCGGGAAAAAAAATCCTCCTCCCGTTGACTCGGCCAATCTCGCGTTCCCCCGGTGAGAGCGCTCAATCCAGGGCGGGGATCGCCGTGGAAGCAGGGCCGGGGCGCAGGGCGCGCGAGCGGACGAGGAAAAACGGGAGTTCGGAAAAGCGCGCAGCGGCGCTGGCTGCGCAAACGGCCGTGGGGCGCGGCCGGCGCTGCGCGGCTGTTTGTCGGACCGGCGCCCGCGGCCGCGCCCCCGCGGCGCGGCGCCGCTCGCGGGGAAACATCGCGGCGCAAAATGGACTTCTGTCGTTGTGTATCGTGTTCCGGCATTACGGCCGCTCCGTGCTCCGCCCGCCCTCGCCCGCCCCGCCCGCCCCGCCGCTCTTCTTTTGGACATACTCTCCTCAATTAAGCGCATGCGTACGCCCGGACCGCCGCCGCCGCCCAGCACGCAGCAGCAAGCAGCGCACGTCAGCAAAGCAGGGCCTTTTTGTGCAGAAAACGCAGGACAGCGCAACTAATAAAATTCATTCGTCCCCGCGCCGGGCGGCATATTAACGTTACGAGTGAATATATACGAGCTTTAGTGCCGCGCTTCATAACGAATTTTGATAATACTACTCTAGGAAAGAAATAGTGCGCGACCTGATAACTCCTGGTACGAGCGCGTTGTTTCAAGCTTGCCGCTCACTACTTCCTCTCGCGCTGAGAGTGGCGGGTGGCGGGTGATGAAATTGGTGCCGCTTGCTGGCACACAGTCATTTTCATCACTGGCTTTTAGCAAGGACAGAGAGCTCCGTAAACGTGGCGGCAGATGCCGCATGAACCTAGATGTTTCCTCTGCGGTTCCGGTGACGACTGTTCTGGTCGTCGGAATCCTATAGTGAGAGAATTATGGATGCTACAAAATTAGCAAATGATGAAACCACCAACCAATAACATTTTTATCGTCTATGCATCGGAATAAACTACAAACTATCATTAGGGTGGGAATATTTTTCAGGTAACTTACATGGTGTAGATAACACATGGTGGGATGAGAAAAGTCAACTTTACAATTGTGAAAAATCTCTCAGAGCAGAACTTTACAGCTTAGACCTTTTGGTCAGTCATTCACAATGGCGCACGAACAACTTAACTGATATCGATTCTGGAATTTGTTGGAAAGTAATAGCCGCTTAAGAAAGAAAAGCACATTAGATCGCAGAGCAAATCAACAAATTCAAGAGGCAAAAGCGTGCGGTGCACGACGGCTCATCGAGTCCTCTCGTTATACACATACCTCACCCTTTCAATGCTGATGTTAATTAGAGTGATGCGTGGGTTGCCCTCTCTCCCTTCCTTCTCCATTCCGCCTTTTCATCTTACCTCCATGCTCACGCCCATCCTCGCTCACATCCACGTCCAATTCTCTCCCCATCCTAGCGCATATCCTCGCTTCCATCCACGCCTCTTCCTCGCTCCCATCTACGCCCCATCCTCGCTTCCATACACTCCTCAACTTGGCTCCCATCCACGCCCCATCTTCGCTCCCATCCACGCCCCATTCTCGCTCCCATCCACGCCCCATCCTCGGTTCTATCTTCGTTTCCATCCACTCCTCAACTTGGCCCCCGTCCACGCCCCATCCTCGCTCTCATCCTCCCCGCGTACCGTTCTGCGAGTGGGTGAACGCGCCGTATATCGCGTCGAGGCGGTCACGTGTTGGATGGCTGCGCACAGGGAGGCAGTCCTCTGCATCCCCAGGCCGTCGGCGCGCTCACCACCGCGGCCGTCATCTGCCCCCGCCGCGCCCGCCGCGTTGGCTCAAGGGCCTTCACACGGACATGGACATGGGGCGACTTGAAGCCAATGAAGTAACCACCCGCCAGTTTACAAAACGATAACGGGTCATCGACAGGATACTGAACTCTATTCAACACTCCGTACCAAAATTCACATAATTGGAAAATGAAAAGGGGAGAATATGTTCGCTAACAAATCAAAAAACAATGATTTATACATAAATTGAATAGTCTTCTATCTTACACTTCACTTTAATTCCAAATAATATAAGCTTCCGCTCGCTAAAATCTGCAGAACGAGATATTGAAAATACGGGTACGAAATTATCAAGACTTTTTAAAAAGCAGTAAAATGAATGTTAAAACATTTTATTTTACTGTTCAGATTAAAAACATATCAATAAATGGCTCGACAAAGCTCTAAATGTACTTAAGATAGTTGTAAAAGTAGTTTAAGATACATTTACTCTAAATATATCCTAAACTCTCAATCTCGGCTGCTAATTTTTTTTTCCTCGGAAATTTACATTCCTTCGTTTCTGCGTAAGAAACAAAAGAGTTTAGGTGGATATAAGGCTATTTTACCCTACCGCTAAGTTTCGAACACATGCAATGAATAAACAAATTTTCAGGAAAACATTTTCATTTCTAATTACTATCACAGAACAACGGATCCAGGTTTTACTCTTGAATATTCACCAATTTTCATTACTACATCTTTGATTTATTTGATCAATGAAATAGAAATTCAGGACATCCTATGCTACAATGACATTCTACGCTAATTAAAGCTTAATACTGAAATAATAATAATAATAATAATAATTAATAATAATAATAATAATAATAATAATTTTAAGTTGTTATAGCGAGGGTAATTTCCAAATGGAAATAATGTGATTTACAAGGACAGCCTATTGCAATGGGCATAATTTTAGACAGGCTATAATCACCCAAGTGCTGCGCGGCTGACGCAGCGCTGAACCCCAGAGAACGGACACCTCCAACCGCATGCGCTGCGTACGCGTTTGACGCCGTCTGCAGCGAGTCTTATTTGCCCTGCGCTAGGTGCTCAGGATGCGCACAGTCTGACAGAGGCGAGGTCGACTCGGTGGCGCTTGCAGGGGCAACTTGCCCTCGAGTTGCGCGAGTGGGGACGGGTGAGGGGTTGCCGACGCGGTGGTGAGCCGGTGCGGCGGGTGAGTCAACGGGCAGGGCGCGCGCGCGCCGAGTAACTAGGCCTTGATTAAGTAAATGCCTCCCCGCGAGGTCGGGTCACGACAAGAAGCGCAGCCAGCGCTCGTAACGAGCCCGGGCCCAACTCCGAAAGCGTCTCGTTAAGAATTTCGCGACCGACTTTCCAACAACTTATTCGGCGCGTCACGTGACGAAAAACTTGTGTGTATCAACTCGCTGTTATATTCGCTGCGAACTTTTTTTTTTCTTCCCTCGCTCTATTTTCAACTGTACCGTCTGCATCAATGCACTAATGTGCCTAGTGAAAAACAAACAACTAGCGGACCCAACAATGCAAAGACAAAGGCGTAATGCGTAGGGATGCGTAGAACCAATTTCGAATTCCAAATTATTTACGCGCTGTATTCTTCTATTTGATTGCGCCCCGGGGGAGTTTCTTACACTTCGCGCGGAGTTTGTTGGGAGACGCTCCTGAGTTTGGGGTCCGGATTTTCGCGCAACTTGACAAATTACTCGGCTCCGCCGATCCGTCCAACGCTCGGGCGCAGCGGCACAAAGCGACCAATCCGCGACGCCGCCCGCGTGGACGACGTCGACCTTTCATGCGGATTTCGAAGAATGGAAATGACCCACGAAAAGGCGCAACTCCGTCGCTCGGAGGAGTACAAAACTTTTCCATTACCAAGAAATTCAAAGACTCCTCGAGTTGAAGCACAAGAAAGGACTGTGAGGTATTGGGAATGTTTCCGGACGCCTTATAAATTAGCGGGATTTAGGAAGAGGAAACAGAAAATATTGATGGACGAAAGTGAGGTGAATGTCTCCCAATGATTATCAACTCAGAAACTTGTCTTTGCATTCTTATCTGAGGAGCACTGTGAGGGTTCCTAATAACGCATTTTCAGTTACATTATGTTGTGTGCAGTTTTATCTTACTATAAAGACTCAAAAAAGAGATTACTTTCAATGGCATATGTAAGCAATGAAAGTTCCATACAGCTTGGACTTCCAATATTGTTTTTTAGAAAGAGTTAGAGGTAATTCCTAAAAGAAGCAACTCTGTTATTTTTAGTGGGACGTTCGAAACTATACATTTTTGGACAACTTTTGGAAACACAAAATAAGTTTATTAATGATGTAAATAATTGACAACAACAGTTTTATATCTTATTTATATGATCAATGAAGTTCGTAACTTCAGTTAATAACATAAGTACTTAATGAGAAATTGAATTCTACAAACTATCCCCTACGTGATATGACATGGTATTTGAGTTTAGCATTAACGAGCAACCCAAAAGTGCAACACTTGCGGCACTTTGTCTGCTGCATCTAAATTTTAACCCTCCACGTTCTTACGTATTATGATCTCTACGTTCACAGCACCAAAGGGCTTCATTCAGCAATTATCAATTTTCATACATCTCTTAACATCCGGAAAAGGTGAGCATATTGCACGTTTTGAGAGAGAAGCTTACTACGATAGGCATTCTCACAGCCCGTACCTTTGTGAGTAAACTTGAAGCTAACTGTCCATTTCCCCGTTCGCTCCATCAGGAAACAGTCTAAATGCTTCGCCGGCATTACCTTAAACACACTTTGGAAGGCAAACTTACTCCGCAGGCGCGTGGAACTGCGCGTGGAGTTCAGAGTGCCGTAAGTGACGCGAAGGTAAGCGCAAAGCCGGTTGCTTGATTGGTGTCAGGTCGTATTCATAATTAACTGCTTGGCAAGGAAGTTGACTTAATATTCAATTCTTCGTATATTCACATGAATTCTATAATAAAAAAATGCGTGTTGGAATGTAGGAATATTTGAAAATAAAATAGTTACATTGGGTTTAAAAATGTTTTCTGAATGGACAAAAAGACATTTTCAATTGTGTTATGAAAGGCATCAGACTGAATTTCATACTGAAATCACGGTTTGAAAATTAGTTTCCTTGGTAAGTGCTAAAAAGTAATGATCAAAGCCGTTTTGCCTTTGCTCGTTTATTAAATTTTAAGGCGCAGTTTTATTTATGATAAATGCAAATCCAGGAACAAACGTTAGATTATTATACTCTTCGAAGAAATGTGTTTGTCATCCATCTCATAAGTCATGACGACTCTTCGAGATACTACAATGAACACGTACAGTGTCCGCTAACACGGATCTTGCATAGATATGGCCAGGAAGCTCGTGGAAACCCTCACATCAATAATACGTCTCCACACCAGGTTGCCTAAATCAGAAAACCAAATACGCTTCCATCATTCATCATGATGTTGTTTACTCATTTAAAACGCGTAAATTTGCGAGGGACCGCGTCGTGCATCCATATTCATCTTCTTTATTACGCAGTCGCCCGTCCCGGTGCTAACGCCGAACCCGGCTCAGGCCATAGGGAGAAGCTTCGCTCATCAAATATTTGGCGATCTCCCCGCTGTGTTCCTCATCATGGATACGGGGCTCTCGCATAAAACCTATCGTGTAATGCAATTTGAGCCGGCGATCATCACTTAGGGGTGCGCTCTACAATTTCGCGTTGGGGGTGAGTCGCATGGCTTGGGTGGGGGTGGGAGTGTCGTAATTTCGTTACCCCGCCTTCGATCGGCGTGAAGGAAAACCGAGGAGGGGAAACGACGTGAAGAGTGGCGTAGATCAGTGTCCAATTATGGCGCCAGCCTTTGAGACCACCGATTTTCGATCAAGCGGCTATGTTTTCAAAAACCGTTCCGTCTTTGTGATGTAAAGGAGACGGGCGGCGCTTAACGTTCAATGCAAATTCGTTTAAGTGACGGGACAAACATTTGTTATTCCCCGAGGCGAAAAAAACATTAAGGAAATTAGCTTTCACATGTTAACTTATCGCCATCAATAATTCGAGGCAGAAAGTACAATTCATGAATGCACGATCTGGAAGTATGTCATATCTCCTTTACCTGAAATACACGATCGATGGTACACTAGAACAAGCTTTTTAATAATTACCAGAAGGCTTAATTGAAATTATTTCTCAGGGAATGCCAACCACGAGTAAATTGCGGTGTCATTTCTTTTAACAAAGAGGAACATGTCCTATTCAACGGCAAAATACAAGATGCAATCACCTTAAAGATTTTCTCAAAATTGAAAACAGCCTACAGCATCCCATCCCGCAGACGAAGATGATACTTCGTTAGCTTTCCCCATCTCGGGGCGCCACCAGTAAACAAAACCGGTAAAACATCTTTCATTTAATTAAGAACACCAAAGCGCGCGGTTAATAGGCTCCTTCTCCCGATGCGCTATCTCTCTCTCTCTCGTTCTCTGTTGGGCGGCGCCTTGAAAGCGCAGCGTTCCCGCACTCTTTAATCCTTCAGCTTCTTACCCGCTCGCTCGCCCACCCCCTCCCGCGCTCACTTGCTCAGTGTCCTCCTCACTGCTGCCTTCGTACCTCGTCCCAGCCATGCTCATCGCAATCCACCTTACTACTTACTTTTTCTCTTTCGTTACTCATATCCCCCATCTCCTCCCCTAGGCACGTCCCCCGATTCAGTTTCATTTGTCTTCCACTAGCTTCACAACAGTTGTCACTGTTCTCCTTCCTTCGCTCGCCGTCAATCTCACACATCTTCACTATTTAGCTTCC